TTAAACATTCCGACGAGTCTCCGGCAACCGTTTGACGGAAGTCCGACGATAGTAAGATGTGAACAGTGTCTGTAAATTAAATTTTTTTTTTTTTTAAAAAAAAAAAATTAAAAATATATTAAACTAATTGGTACAAATATTTTGTTTTGAAATTAACTGAGTTTTGAACTTAGTACATGGGACTTACGAATAAGTTCCCCTTTTTCATTTATATTAAATGGGCCTGTCCAAATGGGCTGGATCATTAGATGAGATTCGGCCACGTTGATTATTCTTCACCAACACATTCATAAACAAAAAAAACAACCGGTCCAACGGTTGAACCGTGGACCTCTAAAGTTGAACCAGTCAAAATGCGAATAACTAATTTGACCAACTTCGAAACGGCTGTGGCGGCAACGACAATCAGACAATGTTTAAAATAGAAAATTTTATAATCACAAACTAAACCAACTTTTCAATCATTTTCTCATCAACCAAACACTATTTATTTTTTTAATAATCTTACTCAGTCAAAGATACCAAACTGAAAACAATCTCTTCAATCGTTTATGTCCACTTCCCAACACCAAAACCCCAATTCAGATGATTGATTTCTAGGATTTTTCGTTAACATGTTTCGATCCGAATTGGGTTTAGGGTTTTTGGTGATTTCATTTTGCTTATCGTTCTGTCTTACAGTCGAATCGAAGTGTTCCAAAGGCTGTGACCTAGCTTTAGGTTCGTACTACGTCTGGAACGGATCGAACCTCACGTTCATCGCCAACGTGACGAACGGTTCGATCAACGATATTATGAGCTACAATCAAATCGCCAACGCAGATAGTGTTCTATCGGGTACGAGAATCAACGTTCCCTTTAGCTGCGAGTGCATCAATGGTGAGTTCTTGGGTCATGTGTTTCAGTACTCGGTTATCTCCGGCGATACGTACCAGAAAGTGGCGAATACGTACTACGCGAACTTGACTACGGAGACGTGGTTGCAGAAATTCAATGTTTATGATCCGAGTCGAATTCCGGACACTGCGCAGCTCAATGTAACAGTGAATTGTTCGTGTGGGAATAGTTCGGTGTCGAAGGCTTATGGGTTGTTCATCACGTACCCGCTTCGGCTGGGACAGAGTTTGCAGTCGATTGCGACGGAGACGAATTTGACTGCAGATCTAATAAGGAGTTACAATCCGAATGCGAATTTCAGCTCGGGGAGTGATCTGGTGTACATTCCGGGGAAAGGTGAGTTTTTTATTTGATTAGAGTGCAGTTATGTGTGGATTGAAGAATTTGGGTGGGAACATTTTGGTTGATTATTTATGTATATTGAGGAAAAATGGTGGATCGAGAATTGTAATGTTAGCCTCTAAGAATTTAGCATAAATGTAACTAATATAAGCAATTTTATCCATTGGATGCGTAGTTGATCGTCCCATTTAGTCAATGATGAACCTAGGCTAGGTGGTGGTTGGGGTGACTGCCCCCAAAGTATCAGCTAACAATATTTTCAAATTATTTAGGTTCATCTCCTCAGATTTTTTTTTTTGGAAATTTTAATACCCTATTTTTATTTTTATTTTTATTTTTCTTTTAAATAAAGTGGTTTTGTAGGCTTAATGTACAAAATTTTTTGTTGCATATACATTTTCCCCCAAGATTATAATTCAATGTCTATCCCTCTATTTAGTAATTTCAGGTAATAATGCATCTAAAACCTAAATTTATTAGCAACATTGTTGTTATTGTCTAAGCCACTTGGCATGAACTAGTTTGGTCATGAAACTGAAGAATGGAAGGATAGGCCTCTGGCAGTTGGGTTGCATTGCATATTAAGAATATAGCGTATGCCATGAACTCATTCTACCTTTTTTTTTAAAAAAAAAAATGCATAGCATTACAAGCATCTCCATTTTATTTTCCCTAAAGTATTTCTATATATCATGTTTTCCCTCAGAAGGAATACAAAAACAAGGTCATTATAGGATTCCAAGATATTAACACTGCTACATAAGTGATAAGTAAATATAACAATAATCAACTAACATTTGCCGATCAAAAAAAAAAAAAAAAACACTGCCACATAAGTGTTGTTAACATTAGCTTATAAATATTATTGTTTTATTCTCTAATAATATTTTTTGTGATTTTAGTTGTCACTCATTTCAGCATGACAAACTTGAGTCCGATGTTATGGAGAACATTGAATTATTCAATTTCTTGTTTTGTTCAAATACACCACAAGATGTCAAGAACAAATGTATCATTATTTATTTATTTATAAAGCTTCAAGATTCTAGTTATCTTACCATAGATGTCCCAATTCTTTGCAGATAAAAATGGAAAATATCCGTCCCTGAACTCCAGGTAACTTTTGTAACTTTGATGTTTAGATATACTAGATTCATGTTACTTCTTGCCATTTTTGCCACCTTTTATAAATTTTTAACATCTAATACCAATTTATTATTTTTCCCTTTGCAGCACAGGTGTCTGGCTTTCTTTGCTATTGGTTCAAAGTTGACTTTTAATTTCCTGGCTCAGATGAAAATGTGAGATGATAAATATGGGTCTTTACTGATATTTAAAAATGTTTTGCTATTTATATAAGCAGGATTATCAAGTGGGGTCATAGCCGGGATATCCATAGCAGGAGTTGCAGGGGTGCTGTTATTGGCAGTTTGCATATATGTTGGAGACCTCCTCGGACAAGGTGGTTAGAGAGAATATCTCCCATGTGCCTTGCACATGGGCTCCATCCTATATCATGAGGTGCCTATAAATAGCACCCACCCATAGCTTTACAAGTGATGGATTTTGGAGAATTAACTCTTGGGAAAGAACTAATTTCCCATCTCCATTATCAACCTTGAGAGTGAAAGTGGGAGATCCATGGGAGAGCCTTGCCATTATTCTCTCTCTAGCTATGTTGCCTTCTTCTTCACCCAATCTCTTATCTCCATCATCTCCTTTACTCTTGTGTTTTTAAGTTGAGACTATTGAAGAATCTAAGCCTCTCATCATCTTCTAGAGAATTCGAAGTTGTTCTTCAAGGATCTTCGAATTTTCCAACTCCTTTCTTGAACCCCATCATACAAATAGCAACATCATCACCATCAACACAACATCATCGCCATCAACAACACATCTTCATCTCCATCACCGCCATCACCCTCCTCTTCCTCTTTTCTTCCTTCTCTATTTGTCTCTCTCTCTTTAGGTTTGATTCAAGAGAGAAACGAGAAGGGGAAGTGGAAGGGAAAGAAGAATTTTTTTTTTTAAAACGACGTCGTTTTCAAAAATTGGGCCATTCGGAGGGAATATGTTTCGAGCTACAAACCATTTTCCTATAATAAATTGCACCAAACAGCACTAAAATGCTACAATGGTCAAATTTGAACACCATAAAATATTTTGTCATCCATATATCATCAACGTATTATGTGGCCCCAGTTTTCATATCTGTTACTAACTCAATGGTAACACATGAGGTGAAAAGCACTTTATTGTATATAAATGTGGTAATTGTAACATTATTGATAGGGTAAATTACATTTTGACTCCCTTAAATTTCAGTGATTTTTCACTTTGTCCCTTAATTGTTTTCCAATTTGATCCTTAAAGTTTCTAATTTTCTTCAATAACCAATATCTAACCAAAATTGAATGAAAAAAGACATGTGGCAGAAATTAGGGTAAATACACTCGGCCCCCTTATGTTTTAGTGTTTTTCAATTTTGGCCTATAAAGTTTTTTTCTCACTTTCCTTACCTTCTTAATTTTTGCTCAATTTAATCCAACAATTAATGTTAGTCCAAAATTGGGTGAAGAATGTTACGTCACCAACTTTGTAGGACCCAGGGTGTAGCTTAAATAGTCTTGAGGATATGTTTTCACTCATTTAAACAAATTTGACCATTGTAGCATTATTGTGTAAAATATACCTTTGATTCGTCTAAATGAGAGAATCAAACTATATTGGTGGTGTCAATATTTTGAATAGTAAAACTGAGTTTATAACGTTGTATTTTGATTATATTGTTAATTGATTGTTCATTAAAAACACGAAATTTCAAAATGTAACCAAACCGCCACAATGCATAACGGTTTGGTGTGGTTTACCATGACGAATGGTATGTTTTGAATAATATATACACTCCTACTGTCAACCACCCCCTTTCTTTTCTTTTCTTTTCTTTTCTTTTTACTTGTTCCTTTTTGGTTTATGTTTTCCTTTTTCATATATTGTTGAGTTTTTGCTTTGATACTTTGTGCACTTATCCCCCTAGTTGATTGATATTTGTCTTAATATTCTGTATACATTGATTCTCATCAATTAAGTTTTTATTTGTTCATCAAAAAAATAAAAAACTTTTTTTAGACGTGGGCAACACCATTTTATGGATTTATATCAATCATTTTGCTTATTGATTCAATTTTGGTTAAATAGTACATCTTTGATACCAATGTATACCCAAGAGAACATGAGCAGCTCAAGAGGATAAGAGATGCAACATTCAAGAAATATGGCGACAGGTTAGGGACTTGCTCACATATGGTTGACAATATTAATAAACTCAAACATCATTTCAAGCAACCTGAAACATATTTTTATAATTAAATTATTGGGCCTAGCTTCTATCTACTCAAAATCATGGACTAAAGGGTGTTGTCTGGATCCATGGAGCCAACCACGGGTTTTGTTTCGATAATTCGAACTGTCCCTTTTGTAAAGTCCTTTGTGTATATCATTCACAAAAAAATTTAAGTCAATTTGATAATCGTAACCTATTCAATTTATCGCATTTGTTAAATCAACTTTCCTTTTTTGTTTTTGTGTTTTTTGTGAATGATATACACAAAGAACTCTATAAAATGAATTGTTCGGATCATCGTAAGAAAATCCATGATAATCCCCACAAGCCCGGATAGTACCATCCAGTCTAATCATGGACTGAAAATGATTTTTTTTTTTATTTTTTTATTTTAATCGGCCTAGTTAACTTGTTACTACAAGTCTTGGCCGCAAAGCACTACAACTTTTGAATGGTCTTGATTCTGAGTAATGGCCAATGAAACATTAAAAAAAAAAAGTTTTCAGAATTTTGTTTATTCACAACTTATTTAGTTAATTTTTATTTTTGTTTTTAAAAAAAAGTATAACAAAATTGCAATTTGAATTGTAGAGCGGAGCTAAGTGTGCCCCCTGATGAAGGATTGTTCTTGTCTATGCTTTTGAAATTAATGAATGCCAAGAAGACGTTGGAGATTGGTGTTTTCACTGGCTATTCTCTTCTTACCACTGCCCTTGCTTTACCTCATGATGGCCAGGTTTGTAACTCCCTCTTTAAATTGTAATCAAATTTAAATCAAGCCCAAAAGAGACTGTTAAAAATTTGGTTTTAACATTTTTAAATCAACAAGTTGTCATTCCAATTAATCCATGCCTTTCATTGCTTTTTTGAAAACAAGTTGTCATTCCAATCAACAAGTTGTCATTCCAAGTTGTCATTTTTAGATCAACAAGTTTAAAGAGTTTAAATCAACAAGTTGTCATTCCAAGTTGTCAATTTAAAGAGTTTATTACTTGTGACCATGTTTGTTTCAAACTTTTTGGTTTTTGTTTTTGTTTATGCTTTTGTTTTTGTTTGCATTGCTTTTTTGTGGGTCTATTTTTAGTCAACTAAATTTTTAGCCAACTTACAAAGGGTGACTTAAATTACATGGGATCATTAGTTTTGAAACTAATAATTCTGGAATTACCAATTTTTTGGAATTACATATCTTATTCCACTTTTGGAATGTTCCTGCATTAGGAAGGAATTATGTAACATATTCTATTTTTGTTTGAAATCCTTAGATTCCAATATAGACATAATCTAAATCAGTCCTTTTGTTTTCATTATTATTATTCTTTTTATTTTTCAACAGATAGTAGCAATAGATCCAAATCGAGAAGCATTTGAAGTTGGACTGCCATTCATTCATAAGGCTGGTGTGGAGCACAAGATCAATTTCATTGAATCAGATGCCATTTCTGTTCTCAATGAAATGTTGAGCGATGTGAGTTTTTAATTTTCAAGGCTATTTTTTGTTGCATTGACCAGTACAATTACACAATTAATTATTTTGCACTGTTAAATTTCCTATTTGGGAGTGTAAAACATTTTCCTAATTTGATCTGCCATTCTTTGCCAGCATTGTTAATCACATTTTGTGTGCCAATTTCCTATAAATCTGACTGACATGCTTATATAGAACGCCTACTTCTTAAACTTGGGAACTAATTATATGAATTATGTATATATGGCAGGAGGGTAAGTTGAAAATGGAGTTTGATTTTGTGTTTGTGGATGCTGATAAGCCCAACTACATTAACTATCACGAGCAAGCGATAAAACTGGTGAAAGTAGGAGGTGTTATTGCATATGATAACACTCTGTGGTATGGTTCAGTTGTAAGCAATGAAGAAGAAGTCCCCGAGCGTCTCCGTGCCAGCCAAAAGCCCATAATTGAACTCAACAAGTACTTAGCCTCTGACCCCCGAATCGAAATCGCTCAGATTTCCATTGGTGATGGTGTCACATTGTGCAGGCGCATACTCTAGATTAGATCGTATCGTATCATATCATATGAGCTTGACTAAATTTGTAATAATAATCATGTTACCATGGATTTTAAGTCATTTATTTTTAAGGATGATCCGTTTATAATGTTGTTATCTTATTCATATCTGTAGTTCTTTATGCTTTTTTGTGTTGAAAATAAAAATGGCAATAGCAACCTTGTAGTTGCAAAAGTATTTGAGACTCCACTTTTGCAGCTGATGTCATTTATTCGTAATGTATTTCGTGGTACCACTTGTGGATTGGTTTGAACCTTCAAACTCTCTTCTTGAAGGTGTGCTTAGTTCTTAAATTTTGAAAAAAAAATATTTGTGGATGTAACAAAAAATAATGCACCTCAGAGCTGACTTTGAAGGAATTTTCACCAAACATTGTGGTAGTGAAATTATTGATGAATTGTTTGAACATATTCTAAATATTGTGGAGTTTTCCTCCCAGTCTGAATCAAGCAACCTGCAAGGAAGCCTTTTGTCTTTGAAGAGCAAATGATTCAAGTTCAAGTGATCTTGGTCTCCTCCTCAGGTGGCATGATTTGGGTGGCCAAGCAGTTCTAGTAAAACAAATGGATTGGATGAAAATCCATCGCTCCGTAGTGGACCCAATTGATTTTGGGTGAATTCACTTGTTAAGGAGTCTAAATTAGTTATTTCCATATTTTGTTTAAATTTTCCATTTTTATTAATTTTGTTATTTCCTTTATTTTGTAATGTCAGCAATGAATTGTCTAGTTTGGTTGTTCCTAGTCGGGTAAGGTTTGCTTTTTATTATAAATAACAATTATAAGCCTAAGGGCTAATTTGTTTTGAGAGTTAAAATAAATCCAAGTTGTTGGGTACTCTTTCAGCTTAAATGCCAAAGCCCATTTGGCTACTCTTTTTCCTGTCAAAAACCAACTTTTTAAAGCCAAAAATCATTACAAAAGTAAAAAATATGCCAAACTAACTTTCTAAAGCACTAGTTTATTTGTGGACTTACTTTAAGCAATAAGCAAACTTACTCTGTAATCTGCTCCTATTCCCAGCAGTTTCACCATTAAAAAAGGTAAAAGCAACATATATCATATACATGTCTGCCAGCAATTTCCTTTTGGGTCGCGATATCTGCTAGAAAACTGACCTTTCAACGCAGTTGGGTCTCAAACCCTCCATCCATCTAGTTTCCTGCAGGCTGCTTTTATCTTAAATGTTTTCAAGTTTCTCCTGTTAACCCCTCTCATTTTCATCACATCTCAAAATAGGATACACACACAGGGAAATACATAAATCATGGTGACTCCAAGTACCCAAGAATTTCAAGCGACAAAGATTCTAATTAACTACAATAGAAAACTAGAATTAATGTTTTTCTTGTTCCCTCATAAAATGATGTTAAGATTCCAATATAGACATAATCTAAATCAGTCCTTTTGTTTTCATTATTATTATTCTTTTTATTTTTCAACAGATAGTAGCAATAGATCCAAATCGAGAAGCATTTGAAGTTGGACTGCCATTCATTCAGAAGGCTGGTGTGGAGCACAAGATCAATTTCATTGAATCAGATGCCATTTCTGTTCTCAATGAAATGTTGAGCGATGTGAGTTTTTAATTTTCAAGGCTATTTTTTGTTGCATTGACCAGTACAATTACACAATTAATTATTTTGCACTGTTAAATTTCCTATTTGGGAGTGTAAAACATTTTCCTAATTTGATCTGCCATTCTTTGCCAGCATTGTTAATCACATTTTGTGTGCCAATTTCCTATAAATCTGACTGACATGCTTATATAGAACGCCTACTTCTTAAACTTGGGAACTAATTATATGAATTATGTATATATGGCAGGAGGGTAAGTTGAAAATGGAGTTTGATTTTGTGTTTGTGGATGCTGATAAGCCCAACTACATTAACTATCACGAGCAAGCGATAAAACTGGTGAAAGTAGGAGGTGTTATTGCATATGATAACACTCTGTGGTATGGTTCAGTTGTAAGCAATGAAGAAGAAGTCCCCGAGCGTCTCCGTGCCAGCCAAAAGCCCATAATTGAACTCAACAAGTACTTAGCCTCTGACCCCCGAATCGAAATCGCTCAGATTTCAATTGGTGATGGTGTCACATTGTGCAGGCGCGTACTCTAGATTAGATCGTATCGTATCATATCATATGAGCTTGACTAAATTTGTAGTAATAATCATGTTAACATGGATTTTAAGTCATTTATTTTTAAGGATGATCCGTTTGTAATGTTGTTATCTTATTCATATCTGTAGTTCTTTATGCTTTTTTGTGTTGAAAATAAAAATGGCAATAGCAACCTTGTAGTTGCAAAGTATTTGAGACTCCACTTTTGCAGCTGATGTCATTTATTCGTAATGTATTTCGTGGTACCACTTGTGGATTGGTTTGAGCCTTCAAACTCTCTTCTTGAAGGTGTGCTTAGTTCTTAAATTTTGAAAAAAAAATATTTGTGGATGTAACAAAAAATAATGCACCTCAGAGCTGACTTTGAAGGAATTTTCACCAAACATTGTGGTAGTGAAATTATTGATGAATTGTTTGAACATATTCTAAATATTGTGGAGTTTTCCTCCCAGTCTGAATCAAGCAACCTGCAAGGAAGCCTTTTGTCTTTGAAGAGCAAATGATTCAAGTTCAAGTGATCTTGGTCTCCTCCTCAGGTGGCATGATTTGGGGGGCCAAGCAGTTCTAGTAAAACAAATGGATTGGATGAAAATCCATCGCTTCGTAGTGGACCCAATTGATTTTGGGTGAATTCACTTGTTAAGGAGTCTAAATTAGTTATTTCCTGTCAAAAACCAACTTTTTAAAGCCAAAAATCATTACAAAAGAAAAAAATATGCCAAACTAACTTTCTAAAGCACTAGTTCATTTGTGGACTTATTTTAAGCAATAAGCAAACTTATAAGCTGAGTACCAAAGAAGGCTCTCTAATCTGCTCCTATTCCCAGCAGTTTCACCATTAAAAAAGGTAAAAGCAACATATATCATATACATGTCTGCCAGCAATTTCCTTTTGGGTCGCGATATCTGCTAGAAAACTGACCTTTCAACCCGTTGGGTCTCAAACCCTCCATCCATCTAGTTTCCTGCAGGCTGCTTTTATCTTAAATGTTTTCAAGTTTCTCCTGTTAACCCCTCTCATTTTCATCACATCTCAAAATAGGATACACACACAGGGAAATACATAAATCATGGTGACTCCAAGTACCCAAGAATTTCAAGCCACTCTATCGTAAGAACCACTACCAAACGCTCATTAAATAAGATAAGCCAATTACAAAATGAAATTCATCCACTTATGTCGTAGAAAACCGAATGTGGTAGATTATGGACATACAATCCAATCCAAGTTGTAGTCTTCAAAGATGCCTAAATCGCAATTGACAAGCAGCAAGAAAAGGAATTAACACTATTTCACACTTCTCCCTATGAAAAGAGCATAGCCATTTAAATAACTCATCTTTCATGTACAATATTTACATCATGTGAGGAAGACCTTATTGCTTTTCAATCACAATGAAGCGAACACCACTTGAATTGATCAGAATAGCAATGTTACAAAGAGAAAACCCATGTCACACTATAATGCTACAGATCACCCTGAAAATCAATTACAAAACTCAACCCATTGGCGAACATATAAATACTGCAGCTACTCATACAACAAATTACTTGCATTGTCAAAAAAATGTGGGTTTCTGATCATTTTATACTGCAGATGGAAGTTGCTTCAGCTTCTGCTTAACCAGCATGGTTGAAATTTTCCATCTCATTGGTTTTTTTGGTTCTGATCCCTGAAAAATGTATTTGAAATTATATCAAACATAAATGATTCTATACAAATGCATACTAATTTCCCTTACCTTGATAAACTAAATTTTGTGGAGTCTAACTAACAAAAAATTAATGTCAAGCATTTATTCATTTTACACGAAGATAAAATTCAAACTCCTACAAGCCATAAATGTCCTGCCCCATATCAAATGGAATCGACCTTGATTTATATTCACTAGAAGTTGGGAAACTGCATTCAAGAATTAATTCAAACAGGCTCACACTGCCATTATCTTCACAACGCAGTAACAACATAACAATAAAAAACATAGTGGTTGCTGATAAATAAAATAAATAACATAATGGTCTAAAATACAAGCTGTGTCCGCTTCATTCATTTCATCATGAAAAAAGACTACCAGTCATAATTCATAGGAAAAATGCATTCCATTCCATCCATAATTCATATGCCTCCTTATGCAAGAATTCATTTTTCACCGAAATGATTGTGATTTGGAAAGAAGCAAGATCAATGCACAAATTGAAAAGAACCGATCACGGTGCTTTTAAGTATCATACCTTTTAGAACCATATAAATATTCTTGCATCCAGGGTGTCTTTAAATCATAGTCTGCTTAAATGAAATGTTTGTGAGCATCACATCCTTTGTCTTTGGAAGAAATCTCCAATTTTCCATGTCAAGGAACTACTTAGTTACTGTAAGACAAACCAAAAGTGGCATAAGAGACCACCAACAAAAAAAGACATAGGAGAAAAGAAGAAAGGTAGTTGCCATTTGAACAGGGCTAAACCTTCCCATGTAAAAATTTTGCACAAGATTGAAGGTTTGTATTTTTAGTTATGAAATTAAAACCAAAAGAAATATAATTTAATTTATTGGATTAATAAGAGAAACATCATATCAATTATTATTAAATATCACTTCACTTCACAGTTAATAATAAAATTGTATATTTGTCTTAATTATAACTTTTAAATTTATATATTTTTATAACAAGAAGAGGTCATAACTCATGTAACATTATTTAATTAGGTTTAACTTTATTTTTTTTAATTACAAATTATCAAAATTACACTAAATAGACTTATATATATTTTTACTTTTTTTTAAACTAATAATTTAAAAAGTTGTAAGCATAAAAATTAATTTATAAATTTCATATATATCATAATTGTAACGCCCTCAAAAAAATAACATTAAACCCATCAGATAAGACAAGCATTTACATATAAACTAACCACATTCCTTTATTTCATTGAGTTTCATTACATAAGTATTACATGTTAACATCAAAACAAAATGCCCTACGGGCTTACAGCTTGCCAAGTTAACACTTGGTTTCAACAAAAGAGTACTAACTCGTTTACACATTAAGCCCTTGGCTTGAAGTTACATGTAATACATCAAAAGTAAAACAACTACACTATGTCCGCCGCTAGCCTCCCAAGCTATGTCCTTGGAGGTGGCATGCTTCCTGCACCTGAAAATGATATTCCCATATAGGGTGAGCCACAGCCCAGTAGAAATACACTAAACCAAATATGAACAAAAATGATGATAGAGCTAGCATGCTTATCTGTTGAAAAAGGGAAAATAAAAAGTAATTGGGACTTGTAAGTCGTTGACATAAATATGTAATTTATGTGATTGTATCAGTGTTGACCAACTATCAATTGCTAATGTTTTAGTCATTGCCATGGTTGGTTTACTGTATTTCTACTGGGCTGTGGCCCACCC